TAATCACATTTTGCGACCTTCTGACAAGCTAATTCAATGGGGAAGCCAGATTCACTTAATGTGTTACTAACTGAACAGGTATAGTGATTCACTTATCAACTGTGGCAAGAAAAGTCATAAAATGGGGCAAAATTCACAACCACAGTCTCAGCAACATAATTTTTGGGTTCAACTGTGGTCATAAGTCAAATACTAACTGTACAAAACTATGTCTTAGTAAAATGCTCATCAGTAAAAGTGCAGTATTCTATGGGTGCAAACTGGGGAAGATCCAAGAAGAAAGTTAGTATAGAATAGCTAGACAAGAGCAGCATCCTGAGACCCAAAAGTTATTTTGGCCTACAATAACCATTGCACTGAGTCAACGAAGAATAACTAATAATCCAAATCATGTATAAAGCATCCACTTCCATAACATCAGGAGACATTTTTGGATGTGAAATATGGAAAGTAGGGTTCAAAATCCCACATATAGTATATATGGAACCAGTCTCCTTTTCTCATCCTAATGTACATCACAAGAATCCAAAGTTCCATGTCCTAAAAAACTAGGAAGTCTGAGAGTGATGGGAGTGAGATATGGTGAAGATAGCTATGACATTACTGATATTTAAACAGATAGTTATATTTATAATATATTGCATTCATAATGATTATAAACTGATTCGCTGCAAAAGAAACCTGTTTTTCTCGTTTGAAGGAAAGAACAAATGAGTATAAATATTAGGATCAAAGATCAACCGTTTCCTCTTAGACACTGAACACATGGATTTTCTAAAGCCTTTACATTGTATACAACATTTACAGTTGCATAGCATCTGCTTCTCACTACATTTAAACATGTCATCCAGTGAAGCTAAATAAAAGTACTTCGCAGAGCACCTAATTAGCTCTTCAGTATGATGTAATTGTAGATCTTTTTAAGAGAATGGAGACTATCATGACAGCTATTTATTAGTTCCAGGTCTGGATGTAGTAAGTCTCTCAATATTAATTACTATGGAACGTAAGTGCAAGGACTTACAGAGCTCATGTCCTGCTTGTTGCTTTTCTGAGACATGGTTTCAGTGTGAAAAACAGGATCCTAATCTAGCTTGCACAGATCCCAGAAACAGAATATGAGTAAAGAATTCTGCATGCCATAGACTATGCTTTGATTCAACAAAGTGGTAATGTTCTTAAGGGTTCATTCACACTTAGGATCTCTTAACATTGAAACTGCAGGTTAACTATTACCCCATCCTGAATACACAATAATAATACATCAAGCTTTTTCAGTCTGGTACCCTACAGATATACTTGAACAGTAATTCCCTGGCCAAATCTACTGACATGATGGCGGGGATGATGCAAATCACACAATTTATATATGTGTGTGTGTGAGAGAGAGAGAGATGTCATTATTTACTTGGAAAAAATACTTTCAAGATTGGCAAGAATGTAAAAAAAAAAGAGATTACTTATGGCAGAAGTAAGGTGTGAACTAGGGGCTTCCTAATTCGTATCTCAGACTCTTAGCCATCATGCTGCACCTGCAGCATTACTATAAGCATAACATGCACAGGGAGAAATGCAACCAGGTACGAAGCTCTGAATACAAGGTGTGCGGTATTCAGATCTCCAAATAGTTCAGGTCTGTCATAAGCATGCTCATTATACTGGTCGGCAGCTCCTTAATGAAGTTGTGCCAGGAAAATAATTGCTAAGGTGCTCCTTAACTCAACCATCTCAAGCCAGGAAAATGTAGAAACAACCATGCTGTATGTGAAGTATCTTTTTCATTTCACGGCTGAATTTTGCACACTTCTGCTTTAGAGGATGAGCAGGACAAAAAAAAATACAAAAAGAGGCAATGACTATTCAGGACTTATCAGCCCATATCAGCCCACTCCTGACCTAGCCAATGCAATTGTCTAAAGATCCAAAATTATTCTATACTAGTTTTCCCCTTTGGTATATTTAGCCACGACCTTGTGCAAACCAAGCAGAAACTGTGACTTGATAAACCAAAATGTAACAGAAGAAGGGAAGGAATTTTTTTTTAAAAAAGGCAGAACTTGTTCATGATTCCGTGATCAGGAACTTTATCTACATGCACCCAAAGTCTTGTGTTGTATTTATTACTGTGAGCTTACTTAGGCGTAAGCAATCTTATAGACAATTAAATTTGGCAAGAGCCATCATTTTCTCTGAAAAATCCCAACTACTTTAATAATTTTGTACTGTATACTTTTTCAGAACTCTCAGAACTCTTTTTTCTCAGATAAATATGCCTTGATACAAAACTATAAATAAACACTGTCAATTTCATGAGAAACGGTGCTTTCCCCAGTAACTACCATCCAATGCATCAGAAAACTTCAGATGTTGAAATAAGTGGTCTTGATTGGTACATAAGTAAATGTACAGAGGAAATCAAATCATAGTTGCATTCTTTAACATTTATACAGCTATAATGATGTACACAAAAAAAGAATGTGGATTGCATAACCAGCCAGTAGGTTTCAATTCCTATGGTAACCAGTTATCTAGACAGAAACAAATACAAACATATATATGTTTTCAGGAACATATTTAAATTACTGAATGAAAAACAATTTAATGTGATGTTTTCTTGTTTTTTTAAGATCAATCCACGCCAACAGGAATGTAAAATCTTGAGAAATAGCCAAGCAATGGCAGCCACCAAGAATGTTCTGCAATATTTTTGTATTCACAATAAGTTGCTAGGCCAACAGAAACCATCTCCCTCCAATTAGAATACTCACCAGCAATCTGTTCTTCGGTCAGCTGATCGGCCTATGTAAAGAATAGAAAAGTATTTCAGAACATTGTTTACCTGTAGCTATGTCAAAGCACACAATGCAGCAGCAACTCAGAGGCAAGATGACATAACATTATATTAGTGCTTGGCACATCCAAGAGCAATTGGCAATAAACCATTCTTCTCTTCAGTGGATGGTGCAAACAGAACTGAGACAGCATGGGAGGGAATATGAAATACCCAGAAAGCTGGAGAGCCTTCTTTATTACTCTGATGGTCAAGGAAAAGACCCTCCCCCTCCAAATCATTTTGCATCAGGTTTTCATTACAGCCATGAGATTACTGATCCTACCACTAAGCAACAGGCGACAAAAACAAGCTTGCAAAACAAGGGCCACCTAACTGTTTAGGTAATTTCTCTACAAGAACTACACACCTTAGTATGATATATCCAGCACTAAATGCTTTTACGTTTTTTAAAAACCCTTCTGATAATCATATTTTTTGTCAAGGCAATCACTGGAACTTGCCAATCTATTAATTTTGTCAAGTAAAGTACTGCTTTGAAGCTTTAGTACTGTCCTAATCAATAATCCCACTCTGTAATATCTGACAAGGAAAAATGATATTCTGCTCTGTATGACATTGTCAGTGCAAAGAGACTATGTTTTATTTATTTAAAACATTCATATTGTCATTTATATAGAGATGGGTTATAAGATGTGCGGCTACATAAATGCTTTAAAATTAATTAACCTAATCAATATTTAATAGCTTAGTGAGAAAGATGCAAATATATTTTAACACCCCCCCCAATAAGTTAGATTTTCTTAAAAAGGATGCTGAATTTGGAAAAATTATATTCTTATCCAAGTACTGAATATGTCTCCCTTAAAGCTTTGTTCTAAATAGCTATTTGATGCTGCAAGAGTCATATCCAAATACTGATTTCCTGTTAAATATGCAAGATAGATGGATGGATGTGAAGATGTGGTCTGGAAGTTTACTATGAAATTTTAAGATCAACAAATGCGTCAAAATCCTCTGCAGTTTGAAAATCCTCTGTTGGCAAGCATAACTGACTTCACAATGCAGTGGCTTGCCAGCAATTAAAGGACATCCCAAAGTAAGCTTCTCATTAAAAAAAAAAAGTTGCAGGATTTGTATACACCTAATGAGCAACCCTATTTGAAATCTTCCCAGAATCCTGTTGCTGGATGCTCTTTCAGCGAGGCAAGTTGGCATAGTGATTTACATAACATATCAGAGCAATGCAGAGCAGGAAACTGGACCACACCTCAATAAAATGAAGAATGCAAATCAACAGAACTAGAGTGTATGAAGCCCCCTGTCTGTGATTTGAAGGATAAGAATCCAGGTTTTGATCTTATACGTTTTTCACATTATATAAAACATCTAGCTTGACGTTTTAGGCAAGAAGAACAAATATTCCTTTACTTTGGCTACCTGATGAAAAAGTAGCCAACATCATGCTAAGCCAGCCAGCCACCCCGCCCATACAGGGTTGTGCGAAGGGGGAGTCAGATCCAATGATGTAACCCCTCCCAGCAGCAAAAAGGGCAAGGAGACACACCTGGGCTTTTTCCTTTCTACTATGGGAAATGAAAAGCTGAGATTTCATCTCTTCTTTTCTCAATGTATCATTTTTGGAAAGTTCACATTTCACAATTACGCAGCAATTCTTGTTAAAATAATAATCAAATCCTGAATGAAGATCTCTTGGGAGATAAAAGGAATGCTTGACCAAGGTAAAATCCAACCGCACATCAGGAGAAAATGAAATGTAAGGGTCAATTTCTACAATGCACCTGCACTAAGCAGCCTTCCCTAATTGAATGACTTCCAAATGGGTCAGATCACAACATGAGCCCAACACATTTGGAGGGCTCCATTATGGGGGGGGAAAACTTGTTGAAAAGGCTTCCCCTGACTGCCTTCTGCACAAAACGTGACCTTGTCCCAACAGCCCAATTGTGATCCATACTTTCTGATACCCCAGACAGCTGTAAGGTCAATTTTAGTACACTGAGATACTGCCTTATAAACAAATCCTACCCACTTCTCCTTCCACTCTCTAGTCCAAAAATCATTGAAATAAGCCCTCTTGCACACACATGCACGCACACACACAGTGTTTGTGTTAGTGGGCTTTTCATATTTTTGTTCTGGGCTTCTAGGAAATAATTTCCAATTGCTACCATAAACAGAATGGATTTTTACCCTCTCCTAGTTCCCCACCTCTAGGGATTAGTAGGGTGGAGGCTCAAGAGGAAGAGGAGGAGGAGACATGATGTAATCCAACCTCCAAAGGGTTTTTTGTTTTTGCAATTGCTGCATTTGGGGGTTTTGAGAATTATTTTTGAGGGGTGGGAAGCAGCGCAATAGTCGCAGAGGTTCTCCCTCCTCCTCCCCCTATGCAGTGCAGCTGGTGTAGAAACTGATTGTTTCCATCAGCCTTCCCCTGCCATCCTCCTTCCCCTGAACACCACCTCCTTCAGCCAGCCTGGTCATCTATTTTCCTTATCATTATCTCCACAAGGAAAGAAAAAGGCACATGCAATTATCAACACTATTTTTAATAACATCAAAACTGTGGCTCTTTACATTGCATTTTCATGCAATGAAAATGATATTGGTATTGCAGCCATAGCAATACCATATGTTGAGCTCCCATATGGTTCTAACCAGGAACTTTCCAGAGGTTATGTCTCAGGACCGTCCCCGTCAACCCCAGTCAGCAGCCAGCACATCTGGAAGGCACAGGGAAGGGAAAAGCTGCTTCCAGAAAACCCACCACTTCCTGAATTTTGTATCCAACTAAATAATCAAAACGGCACCCGCCAAAATATAGGATAAAATCACTTTAATGCAGTCTTGTGGCAATGAAGGCCTGAGTCTGACCCGTTTTCTAACCTCTGCTCATCCCTGCCGTCTTTATTCTCTGAGTGACCATCTAGGCTTAATCTTAGCCCTGTCGTTTTGTGGAAGGGGCGAAGGGCCGTTCCCCAGCTACAACACAGGAAATCTCCGCTCTGGAGAAGCGCACGCAGCACCTCTGACCACAGGCAAGGCGCGGCCACAGTTACTACCTCGCCCCTATGACGTGGGATGCGGAGAGGAGAACCAGGGCGCTCCTCCCGCGCAATTGCCATTCCGTCTACAACATTTGCCCCAAAGTCCTTGCAAGTAAAAACAAAACAGGAGCTGCGACCGCCGCCGTGCCAAGCAAACCGATCGCCCGGTACTCCAAGCAATATCGCCCCCTGCCCGAGAACAGGCGGATCCGCCACTTTCCAGCCAAGCGATCGCTGAACTCTGAAGCATCCCCACCCAGCCTTGGCCGCTAACTGGGAGGAAACCGGCTTGCACTCCTTGCAAGCGAGCGCCGACAAGAGAGCCAGTTCCGGCAAGCGGTCGCGAGTTTCCCCGCACACAAGAGCCCAGCCGGCGGCTCCGGGGAGGAAGCGAGATAGTGGAAAAGCAAGTCAAGAGGCGGCGAGTTGCAGGGCCGCTTGAACTTCGCCTGCAATCTTATGCTCTCCTCCTCCACAGCCCAAGTTAAAACTGTAAGCAAAAGGACAACAACCGCTGGCCAGGACTAAACGCTTCGCCCCATTCCGGAACGCCATTCCCACCTTCCATGCAAAAGAGCAGATCCGCTTTCCAGCAGACCTCAAGGCGCAGGGCCCGCTTCTCCCTCCCTCCAAAGTTGGCAGGGCGTAGTAGCGAAAAGGGCAACCGCGTTCCTATTCGGTTCCCGCCAAGAGTCGAAAGATCGAACAGCAGCTTGTGGGAAGTGGAGCGATAAATCCAGATGTCTTTCGTCCGTGCTTTAAAACAAAACCCGAGCAAGAGCAACAACCACAACAAAAATCCCGCCCGCGGTAGATCCAAGCTACCTACCATTGCGGCTGGCGGCGTTGGCTCTCTGTGCCTTGGCGAAGGTGCAGAAGGCGATCGGCAGCGAGCAGCGTCGCTTCCTCCTCCCTTTGCCAGAAATGCTGTAGGTGTGAGACTGCGCGGAGCCTTTTTTATAGGGAACGGCGTATCCCTCCGCCGGAGCAGCGCCTTTCTCTCACTCTCCTCCCCGGACCGGGGCGCACAGTAGCAGGACTGCAGCAGGCAGTTGTGACCCTCCACGCCGCCTCAAGCTCTCCTCTGCTCACTCCTCTCTGCCAGCTCAGTGCCCAGTTGCAACAGCTCGGCCTCTCCGCGGGCTTCCGCTCGACGGGCGCAGTACCAGCGGCTACGCTAGTGTCTGCGTACCCTGCCCTCCAGGGTACGGATTATTATTGCTATGGATGCTTGGCGGAACTTAAGCATCTTGCAGAGTCCTGTTAACTGGCTCGACACGCGCCTCTGCTTTGGGGGCACAGAAAAAAGGCAGCTTTCAGAGCAGCCGTCCAAAAACAATTGGCCTCCGAGTTAAACCTTTCAAAGTTAAACCTTTCTGCCACGTGAGCCGGGCCTTACCAGGAGCTTGCAAGGGAAACCTAGAATAACAGAATAACTTGCATGCTCTTGTGGGAGAAAAATGGCCAGACGGGGAACTGTTTGCTGCGCCTCAGGCCACAGCTGGTTAAGAGAAGAGGATGCTGTGGCTGATGTGCTGTTAATATTTTTCCCTATAAAACACTCTAAAATTGCACATTTACTTATAAAGTACTTATGTGGTTATAAGTCAAGCTTGCACAATGGGAAACCTTTTGGGCAGGCAAGTGGGTCTCAAAATGGAATAGACGGTACAGGACTGATGGGTGTGGGGTACATATCTACAGCAGCATTCTCCAAGGAGACCCTCTTTAAAGCAGTGGGATTCCAATTCTCATCCTTCCAATCAGTTAGTATGATCATGCTACAGAAGCTAGGAACCATGATCCAACCGAACACAGCCTACCAAAATTGGGAAGACAGATAGTTATATACTTCAGTATAATTATCTATATATACTTGTGTAAGTCTTCTCAGCAATGGGATACTGGAAGTAGTGAAGAGCAGATGCTTTGGACTTCATGTATTTGTGTCCATTAAGGAATAAAAAGTTGATTATCAATTCAGTTGTATGAATGCGAATCCAACTATATCCCTGTTCTCTATAGTTTTGGAAGGTGAGGCCAGATAATTTTAATTATAAAAATGGTGCAAGGGAAATCTGAAGAGTCGTGCAGCTGCTATTACATACAAAACATGAAAACTAAGAGACCCGATCATATTCATCATAAATGTATATATTTTTCATATTGTCTATTTCTTCATTTTGGTAAGATCTTCAGTCAAACTTGAGATGAGCTGAAATTTCTGTAAAGTTTTTCACATACGCTGTCTTGTGTGTTGGTTCTTTGGAAACAAAAGGGACTTCCTCTTTCCACATAAATGAATAATGAAATCCCATTTTACTTTGCAGTGAATCAGGGTTAGGCTTTTAATGATTATGCTTCCATGTCCTTTGAAACACTTCAGTTGCAATTCTCAAATCTCACCCTTTGAAACATACCATTAACCTGTAGTGATAAATTGTTTGAGTATAGCAGACTTTGTTCTCTCTTTATAAAATAGAAACTGCTGGTTATCATGTTTTCTGAGATCAAACTAACGGCCACTTCCCTTTGGAAGTGCAGTTCTCCTCTCTTTGAAATAAATTCCAACATACACTTGCACTTCCATCAACTCAAGAGCGTCAAGTAGAGCTTGCTTCATTTATAGATATGTGACCTTACACTATGGTTTTAATTGATATTTATATACAGAATTGTCAAGGATAATTTTCAGCAGCATTTTGTGCTGCTTTGATTACTATATTCTATGAAATATTGCCTATAATTTATACCCCCTTGTCTTATACCAAGACTTAGTGTTTAAACACTGTCTTTACTATTAAAAAATATCGCCAAAAGCTTTTGAGCTTTATATTTTCTGAATGCCTAGATAGACTTAAAAACCAGCTTTTAATGAGCTATTGTTATGGATAGTCTAGAATATTTTATCATTAATTATTTCAATGCTGGGTCAAAACACAACGCTCTGATCACAGATTGAGGACTTTTTTTTTAAAAAAAAAAATTAGGCCAGATCTTTGAAATGTAAAACTCAAACGTTTCATATGCAGTAGTCTTGGGAGGAGGGGAGGTATACTGAAACATTCTCCTTATAAACAACAAAAGTTTATTAGTAATCAAGTCATAATATTTGCTTCCTAGATCTCATGTTGTTAAGAAGCAAAGCCAATCACTATGCCTACTGCTCCTTCCTCCTCTTTTTCTCCCCCTCTGAAACTGTCAGTAATTGGTTGTTCCTGGAAGCTAACAAGACTCATCTTTATTCCCTTTTTCCTCTGAAAAGTATTAACATGTTGGCTCTAATGACTGTGATACTAAACTCATGCCCAATTTTGTGCCATTTACTGTATTGCACATTTCATAACTGTACTGCTTTTTGATTGTTCAGTGGCTCAGATCCAAGTACATCGTATGAGATTAATACACGTTCTCCCAGCATGATCTGTTTCTTGAAAAGAATCAATTTTTGAACGAATACTTCCATGTCTTTTCTTTTCCCGAAAACATATTATATCATCTTTTGATAGCCCATTATTTCTCATTATGCCAAACTTTACATAGCTTCTCTCCCGAAGAACATTTGCATCACTATTCTGTCTTCCAAATATACTGTTTAACCAACATACAATCTAATTTGCTTAATCACTCAGTCTTTATCCCCTTCAATTAGAAAAAAAAACCATGTACTTCATTTGTCCATGGCAATGTAGAAAAACTAAAGAATTTTTCAGCATACGTTGAAAGATTTTTACGATCCATTTCACAATCTTACAACTGATTGTAAAAGCTCAAGGAAATTGCAGGAGGGAAAAACAAATTGACTAAACTTTGGACATTTCACTGTGAATTCAGTGCCTTATGAAGTGCTAATGTATGAGTGCAGCAGGAAAGCAGAAACAAATCTATCTTCCATCTAACCAGGTGAAAGGAACTGAACTAATCGTTTTGTGGGCAAAGAGAGGACATCAATTCAGGTAATAAATGAGGAAGTTAAATAGAAAATTACACAGCACTTTATTTCAGTTTTAATGTGGTGTTTTGCCAACTTTTTCAACTTTTATATGACTTGATAAATGCAAACATCACAAAATTGGGCAAATCTCCAGCGACTTTATTATAAATAAATCCAGTCCAGGATAGGCACTGAAACGTCTTATTCACCACTTAGAAAATGGGGTTGTGCCCGTTATTGTTACTATGACTATCAATGATTACAGTTTTGCTACTTAATTTCATTATGAATGCTGGACATAGGGAAGTTAAACAATAATGGCTTACTTTGACTGGTTAATGTTTCCTTAGGAGGTGATGGTATCTAGGATATACAGAGGTTTCCCTTTCTACCTGAGAGTCATTTAGGAGTGATTTCTTCTTCCCCGATACCCTGATCCTCACATCAAGCTTATATTTATCAGTAAACTGTCCTGTCTGGAAATTTAATTTGAATCTCTAGATCTACTCTCTGCAACAAATGCTGTGTTACTGGAAACTATATTCAGGTCTTCAAATATCCCGAGCCATATAGAAAAGGAAACACAACACTCTTAAGTATTGTGAAATGGACTTAGGACTCCTTAGTATAAATCAGTGGTTCTCAACCTTTTTAATGCCGCAACCCCCAACCGATCGTAAGTCGAGGACTAAACCGGTCGTAAGTTGAGGACTAAACCGGTCGTAAGTCGAGAACTACCCAACCGGTCGTAAGTCGAGGACTTTCCCTGCCCGGGAGCGCCGCGCATGCGTGGTTTCGCCCCCTGCGCCGACCGAGGCGTAGCTGGCAAGCTGCAGAGACGGAGCAGGCTGACCACCAGCTGGCCCAGCTCAAGGGAGGTAAGGCACCCGCCGGAAAAGGGGAAAAAAATGTCCGACAGCCTTGCTTGGCGACCCCCGTGAAATGGTCGATCAACCCCAAATGGGGTCGCGACCCATAGGTTGAGAACCGCTGGTATAAATCAATGTAAAGGGCATGCATTGTAGGTGCTGTTAAGCATAGGACAATGCAGAAAATCATAATAGTTTAAAATTATGCTGAGTACTATGAATCTTTAGCCCAATCCATAAAACTTGGTACAAATGGGAACACAGTCTAAAATGCCCAAAAGTAAGTATAATAGCTTTTCTAATAAATGAGTTGCCTCCGCTGCTTGATAGTTGTGGCGGTTTCTGCAGTATTTAATCTGTAATATCATTTTACATAGCACATAAAGTAAATTTATGACATTCAAAAGTGAGAAAGGATACTGAATAAATTACCAGAGCAAAGAAATAAGGTTTCAGTGGCCAACAAAAGTACTTGCATATCTCTAATGACTACCATACAATACCATACCATAAAATACAATAAGTTGTGGAATAAATTATGCACAAGAGCGTTAACTGTGCAGTACTGCCTTCTTTTGTTTACCTGATTAGCACAAGTCCCAAATGACTTGTGATTATTTTTAGCACAGTAGTTTCCCAATTCCTCCAAAGCATTCTGAAGCTGACATGCAATTGTCTTCTTCCCCCCCCCCCCAATCTTGAAATCCTAAGAAGAGGCAGAGAACATTAGTAGCCAGTGAGGACTTCTGTCTGACGAACAGAAATTTTAAAGAGCATCAAAATTGGTGTCCTGCCCCAAACTGCTGCCAGTCTGGAGCAACAGAAGTCACCTCATTCTAATCTGCACAAAAAGAGTAGGAATAAAATAAGTTATTAGCATCCTTCCATCTACTTTTTTATTTGATATCGTTCACCAGAAATAAAAGCATAAGAAAATCTACATGGTTGCTCTGAGGAGAAGCTTTCCAGATTCAAAGCAATGTTTTCTTCTGCTTTTAAGCACACCTTGCAAGTTATAGTGAAATTTCAGGCATGCTGGCAGTTTTGAGACTAGAATTATTCCTAGTAGTTGTAACCATGATTTCATGCTTTAGTAATGGCTGAAGTGAAAGAAAAGGAGAG